TTCATTACATTCGAAATTAATTCTTTTCATGGTTATCAGTATGATGGAATTAAAATCCTTCGGTGCTTAACACAGTAACTGTGATTCAAAACAACTATTAGGAGCAAATTAAACAGAGCGAAACGGGTATGATATTAATGCTCAGGTGTAAATAAAAGTAAAGACTCGCAGTATATTCTACTCTCTGTGGAGGAAGTGGACACGCGGTAGCACACTGCAAACTAGCAACGCTTCTGGTAATAAGTAATCACATCCTGAGAGCTGGTTTGAAGAGAGATGGTTAGCAGCTTCCTCCAGCACGCGCCAGCATTAATTTATCATTAAATGAATCAAAATATTGCAAAAGGGTTTGATTAATCACTGGAGGATTGGGCCACCGACTCAACGAAGCCAACCAAATAATAAAAATGGGCTCAAACAAGTAATGTGGAGAATGCGGGAAGAGAGCTGGAAATCAAACATGTGCGAAGGCTAAAAGTGCAGATCTGTTCAACCATATGACGCAGTTTGAAACGCGCTTCAATTATCGCCATATTTCATCTCCAGACTTTTTTTATGCGTTTTTGCGCATTTATGCAAATGCGTTTTCGCACATTTATGAAAACGCGAAAAATACGGAAGCGCATATTGTTACGACTCATGATCTCCGTGTGTCCGTCCAGGTATTTCAAGTCAGCAAGCAGACAGGCTTTGATGCTGAAATTTCGCCTGTACGCTCTCTGGTCAAGTACCACTCAAGGGACGTGGTGCCAATTTTCAGTCACGTCTGTCTTACGTGGGATCGTGAAAGTTTTGGCGGGAAAACTGTCACCAAACAAAACAGAACAGCTGAAACACTGAAACTTTAAGACGATAATCACAGGTTTTAAATTCATTTTTTAAGCCCGCCTGATTCTCACATACGGGTATACGGAATTTTTGGGAGGAAAATTGTTAACTTGGGAATCAGAAAGACCGATGAAATTTTAAAAAGATGTTTCCTGTCCCTGTACAATTTGAAGATTTGAAATTTCGTTTCTAAGTACAATCGCTTCCCACGTGCAAACAAGTGAAAGTATCAGAGGCAAAGTTACTAACACGAAAACCAGGACAAGTAGGTCACTTTAAATAAACAACCGGCCGCCGGAAATTATTCAGCTTACTCGGAAGCTGAATTTGAATTTGTAAGGCCGCACAGAATTAACATTTCCCTAAAATTTCAGCTCGCTAGCTGTAAAGTGCATGAAAACTGAACATAAATTTAAGGGATCGCACCTGGACAGGGGAAATTCTCCTAAAATTTCAGCTTCCTAACTTTTCCGGTTCTTGAGCTATTGATTTTGGCACCGAAACTTTCGTGTGTCCTACGTAAGATCTAAGCGTATGCGAAAGTTGAATTTATATTTGGGGGTTGCACGTAGGCAGGGGACATTATTCTAAAATTTCAGCTTTCTAGCTCCTGGGTCCCCGAGCTAAAAACGCGGGACAAAACACAGATGTACAGACAAGGGCGTGATAGTATGCTGTTACACAGTACAAAATGCATAAAAAATGAAAAAATAAATTACGCAGTGCTCCGTTATAACGCAATGCTTCATTATAGATAGAATAAGAAAAGCATGCACCGTCGGAAAATCATGGAAAATGCAACACAACACACTTCCTATCACAAGAATGTCAAGCAAATCACGACGAGTCATCTCAGAAAGCATCGCTAACATGGTGCAACTCTTTGGATATTTCACACTTCTGAATGCCTATTAACAAGGTTCGGTAGCGTAAAACCAAACGTTTTCGAAATTTATTTACACGGGTCGAGGAAAGAAAGCAGAGCTGCGCCTCCAACCTCCTCTTCTCTCCGACAATCTGCCAAACGATATGAAGATGCACAACGATAAAACAACAGCCTACTTTCGACGGAAATCAAAATCTGACTCATAAAGTGCACTCTGCAGAACTAGAGTATAACAAAAGTACCAAGTCATCGCAGATACCAAATGGAATTATAATGCAAATTACGAAAAAGCTCTGAAGAAAAAAAGTTAGAAAAAAGATTCTGGAACGAAATGTACCTGCGTAGGGGATTCGTGGCACCATGACACGCTGCACCGGCACAGAAGTCACCATCTGCGGTTGCGCAACAAAATGCTGAAAGAACGCAGAAAATAAAACCAATTTTTACTGAAATATAAACTCAGCGAAATCGAACGCTTTTTTACCGCACTGTCTTCTACAGACAGAGACGACTCACAATATTCCTAATCCGATTTATGTGAAATAATCAGGCCATGTACCTCTTTCACCATTAGTACGCGGAATGAAACTGTAAGTAGTCGAAGGTCGATCCAACAGCGCCGTCTCTCGACTTTCTTGACACAACTCACATCGCGTTTCCGACTTAGAAAAGTTCAAAGCAGATGTTTATAAAGTAGGAGGCTTCTGATTACCTGCTGAGGCTGCTGTCCACTCCACTGAGGTGGCTGTACTTGAGCATGACATGGATACTGCTGCTGCGGTGGACCCATCGTTGCCATTCGCGAAGGATAGGGAGCGCAGGGAGATGAAGGCGGAACGCTGCCTTGTGCCATCACACCTACTAACAATGGATGTTCATTGTTACTACATACTAACTGCTGAGTTCTGCAAATTCAAAGTGACAAACACACTTGCGCATCTGCTTCGCCTTTGTGGAATCAAGCGAGAACCGTCAAGAATCTGACCTGGCACTCCCTTTTCCAAACCAATCACTAGCCACTTCCTTTCAGCAAAGCAAATCCTGTTAAGATTTTCCATCACGTCGACGGCCAGGGAAAGTAAATTAACAGCATGAAACAACAGCTCAAATCCACTACATTCAGGCTCACTAGCCCTGCTAACATCCATCAAATGCAACCCATTACCCGCTGGACTTTGCAAATTTGTCTGATAATGAACAGGTGTTTGCGGTGGTTGCATATACGGTGATGCAGAGGTGTTCGAGGACGGTCGACCGATGAATGGTGACGGAGGCGGATGCATTGCACTCGGACTACCCATCGGACTCGGCACTGAAAAAAAATGCACCCACTCATTTAAATGCTTCATCGAACAGTTCCTTGCTAATGATCTTTGAGTAAA